CAGCGCCCCGCGCCCTGTGCTCAGGAGCCCGGGCACCCTGAGGTGCAGGAATGTGAGCACAGGGCGTGGGGCGCTGCGAGGTGCTGCATGCAGGAGCGCCGGGTGCGGGGATGCGGGACAAGAGCGCTGGCGCAGGGCACTTAGGGGCACTGGGTGCAGCAGAGCATGATGGGGCTGGCGGTGTGGGACTCCAGCTTGCCCAGAGAGGTGCTGCCGCCAGCATGGGTGCTGTGGGCAGAGCGGAGACAGCTGCCCTTGGGCAGGAGCCACAGGAGCCGGTGTCCTTGGGGCTGAGCATGGCTTCGCTGTGACAGCACGTACTGGCCTGTGGCGCCACTCTTCCCAGCCTGCTGTCCCCCAGACCGCTGTGCCCACGCATGCTAAGCGGCTCGCTGCATGTGGCGACTGCGGGTCTCGATGTCTGTCTGGGACAGTTGGACACCTCATCCCTCCACTCACTGCGCAGCACCTCCAGGCCCTTGGGGACCCTGACATGAAGGTGCCGTAAAGCCCACTGAGCCTCTGCCCACAGCTGGGCTCAACAAGGCCTGGCAGGGCACATGAGCCCCTTTGAGCCTCAGGGCTCCTGGCTGGCCCATGTCCTGCAGATGGAGCCACCTCCCTGCCTCACAGCCCAGCGCAGCCCTTGTTTCTGGCGCACAGGCCCTGGACTGCAGGGAGACCCCCAGCACCCATCCTGGCATGCCCAGCCCCCACTGGCACAGCCCAGCGCCCCCACCACTGCCCCACAGCGGGGCCTATGCAGCCCCAGCTCTGGGGGCACCAGGCACCCCTGCCAAGGGAGGTGGGGATGGCGGTGATGGTAGCGCGCTCTCCCTCCTCTGTGCCTGTCCGAGCCTGCTGCACATCACTGGAATAGCAGCGGTGCTGGCGGCAGGGCTGGGCGCGCAGTGGGGCCCCATGTGTGCATGCCCCAACACACATGGACAGCCCTTGCTCACCTTCGTGCCCCCTTTGCAGCCACCCCTGAGCTCCTCCAACAGAAAAGGGATTTTTTGCACCTCACAGGCATGCAGGAATGGGTTCCCACAGCCCCTGCTGCATCCCAGGGGAAAGGGGAGCTATGGATCAAACCAGCTCCTTCTGCTAGTCCCATGCAGGCCCCAGATGGGAAATGATAAGGGACATCCCAGGGGGTAGGGCACAACCCCCAGGGATGTGTCTGAGGGACTTGGGGAGAGAACAGGCTGGTCTGGGCTGCCGGGGCTCCTCCTGCCTATGGGGTCACCTTGAACCTCCCCGCACGGAGGGCTGGGGTCCTTCAGCATGGAGAGAGGTGCAGGGGGCTCCAGCTAGGGGTGCTGCTTGCCTTGGTCCCCGGCAGCCCTGGAGCACCCCCACGGAGCGCCCCCTCTGGGGGACAGGGCCCTGCAGGGGCTGCGCTGGGTGGCAGCTCCCAGGCGGTACCGCGTCTGGTGCTGAGCGCGCGCGGAGCCGGTGCAGAGGGTGTTTCTCAGAGAAGCTCCTTCCTCCCAAGGTTGAATATGAGTCAGGTTTTGGAGCAACTTTAATTACTGCTGGATCGATAGGCTCGGCATGGCCAAGCAAAATCCAATCGCAGCCCTGGGGGCCTTCCTGCTCTGCCTGCTGCTGAGCGCGCTGCGTGGCCGAGGGAGACCCGCGCGCTCCCCACGCTGCTGCCTTCCCCACTGCTCACCCGCATCCATCTCTGCACGTGGGCCCCCTCCTGCCCGCTCATCAGCCTTGCTGGGACTGTCCTGGTGTCCCCAGCCCCACGTCCCCCTTCTAGCACCTCTGGGGTCACAGCACGCTTGCAGGGAGCCCCTTGCAGCCTGCTGCACTGATGCCTGTGATGGGAGGTTTGCCACCCATCCTGCTTGCCCCCTTGCCGAGCTGCTCACCCCAGGGCTCACACCACCCTGGCTTGGCCAGGCACTGCATAAATAGCTGTTTGTGTCTCCACTCGGCCCCTGCGTGGGAAATAATATCGGCTGATGGAACATAATGCCCTGCTTCACATGTTCAATTTTATCATTTTCCGAGGCAGGCAATCTTCGTTTAAAGCTGAATGGGCTGGGGAATGTTAATGAAGCGCTGGCGCTGCTCTGCACCGCGCTTTATCTCTTCGAGAATAATTTGGGTGAGCTCGGAAATAGAGTTCCCAGTCCCAATTCAAGCGGCGGCAGCACCGTGTGCCGATAAAAGTGTAATTCCTGGCCAGCGCGTGGCCCTGAATACCTGACAGCTTAACCCTTTGGGCCCCACGGGGCAGCGCTGCCCAGGGTTTGCCTGCCCAGGACCCGGCTGTGCAGGGCACCCAGCGCCAGCCTGGATCATTCCCGGTGCCCCATCTCCCCCCAGCCTGGCAAGACTGGCTGTGAGAGCCAAGGGGAAGACAGGCAGGATGCCCCAGACATCTCTCCAGCTGGAACTGCCCAGGGATGTGCGCAGGGGACACAGCAGGTGTCCTGGATGCTGGGATGCCCTAGGCTCCCTCCCAAGGATGCCTTGGGTGCTGGGATGACCTCAGTGCTTGGCTCAGGGATGGATGTCCCCGATGCCCTGGAAGCTCTTGTGGGCTCGCAGAAAACATCTGGACTGGGGAGCGTAGGAGCCTCGGAGCTCTGGCCTGGGCATCCATAACTGGACAGCTATGCACAGCGTCAGGTGCCAGGGAGGCTGCTGTGCCTGCCCTTCCAGTCCATGTCAGAGTAGGAGGGTGAGGATGGAGGTGAGGAAGGGCCCTGCCCTCCCTATCCTGTATGCAGCACCTTGGGCTCCGGATGCAGCAGCTGGCTGTGCTGGAGCTGCAGCCTGCTTTGCCCCTGGGCCCTCCAGGCACAGCTGAGCTGCCCCACGCCCTGGGCCACCCCACCGCAAAGGTGTTAAGAGAAGGACATGCTGCCCAGCAGGCAGTGGCAGCAGTGGGGCAGTGCAGCACCTCAGGATGTGCCTCAGGTGCCTGTCCCCTCAGGTGGGGCAGCGAGCGGGCGCTGTGGAAGGCCCCTTCACCTGGGAGCGAGTGGGGCAGGCAAGTTTCCAGCACTGTTAATCAGGGCTGTGAGAGCTGGGATTAATGTGCACTTCAAGGCTCTCCAGTCCCAGCTGTGATCCAGCCCTCTGCTCTCAGCCAGAGCCGCCTCTATGCGCTGAATTATCAGCCTGAGTAATTAAGTGGAGAGCTTTGTTTTAATGCAGACATCTGATGCCTTCGCACCGCAGAGCACAACAACTGTCGCCGGTGTTTATGCTCCGTGCGGCACATCTGGCTCACGGCAAGAGAATCCATGGACACCGCTGCGCGGGATTAAAGGCACCGCAGCGCGGGCACTGGGGAGGAGGAGCGTTGGCAGGCGCTCGCAGCACTGCTGCCTGCCTGGCCTCTCTGTGCAGGGCTGCGAGCAGCCGTCACAGCCAGGGCCGGGGTGCAGTGGGGTGGCCAGGCTCCTCGCAGAGACATCGGGACAGCTCTGGCTTTTTGCACACCTGTGTGTGCATGTGTGCGTGGTGAAGTGGGTGCGTGCAGGTGTGAGCAGGGCTCTGTGTGTCGGTGCACGTGCGAGTCCTGACCCATCGCCACAAGCCCAAGGCCATGCAACCTGGGTGCAGCTGAAGTGGAGGTCATGGAACCTCTTCCCTGTGTACTGTGTCCTGCCACCCCAAAAGGACTTCCCCTGCACGGAGAGGGTTTTGGTGGCTGCTTGCTGTGCCACAAGCTGACACAGACAGGACACGTTGGGCTGCAGCCTTGAGGGCAGGGAGTCACCGTCCTGCCTTGCGTGGGGCTCTCCATGGCTCCACTCTCCTGAGTCTGGAACATTTCACTTTGGTTTCACACTTGCCCGTCCTTGTACAGATTTTTAAACTCACCCTATTTTCATTGAAATCTTCCTGGTTTTATACTGAGCCACAAAAAGAGCATTTTCCCGACCCTTGTCCACTGCCCTGCGTATACCTGCACCCTTGCATCCTCCTTTCTTTTCTCCCATCTCTCTCCAGGCCCTGGAGAGGTTTTCCCAGGCCCTGGAATGCCAGCTCGATCCCCAGCACCTCACTGCTGCTGCTGACCTCCCAGCAGGACGTAGCTGCCCCGCGAACTGCCTGTGCACTCTGCTCGTCAGAGCACAAGGCTGGAGAACGTGCTGTGCGATGATGGATAATTACAGGCTGAGAGATAAATGGGAATAGAACAAAATAAAACATCACCTTATCAGAGGAAGATGGTGCCTGATTCACCTGATACCTGCTGCTGATAAGGGAGCTGGTTTGCAGAAGAAGAAGAACACAGATCTCATCTGTCTGGGCCTGGGAAGAACAGAGACGGCGCCACACAGGAAATTATTACTTTGCACAAATTAAGGGATTATCATGAGCACAGGGAGGTGGTAAGAGACTGGTGATGGTGAAAGAGGAGAAAGCAGGCAGGAGAGAGACTATTTATGGCACCACTGGGGATGTACCTCATTTCATAGCGTCATCTTTCACCTCCAAACTGGGGGCTCTGGGAGGAATCTCCTGAAGTCACAAGGATACAAATCATCTTTGGTTTGGGAAAGGCCTCAGAACGGGTGAGATCTAGGAGCACAGATTGAGAATGCATGAGCGTGGGGATGGAGGGAGGAGCCTGGTGTTGGCTATCGCCGTTCTGGACAGGACCCGCACTGCCCTACCTACCACTTCTCTGCGAGACCCCAGCGCGCTGCTGGCCGCTGCTCCAGGAGAC